CCCCATCCTGCAGGCTTGGCTGGAGGAGGCCGAGGGCGCTCAGCGGGAAAAAATGAACAAGCCCGAGCTCTTCAACGGGGGCGAGAAGAAGCGCAAGAGGACTTCCATCGCCGCCCCGGAGAAGCGCTCCCTGGAGGCTTATTTCGCCGTCCAGCCCCGGCCCTCCTCCGAGAAGATCGCCGCCATCGCCGAGAAATTGGACCTCAAAAAGAACGTGGTGCGGGTTTGGTTTTGCAACCAGAGACAGAAGCAGAAACGGATGAAATTTTCCGCCACCTACTAGGGGCGGGCGGGAGGGGTGGCCCTAGCACCGGGGGCACCGGGGGAGGCCGGGCCGGGGCCGCGGGGGGCACCGACCCCCCACCGCTGTCGTCCGAGACGCCGTGGGAAGCTCCGGGGGACGAAGGGACGATGTAGAAATTAAACGCGAACTACTCGATGAGCGGGGAGGGGGTACGTGCGTTGGGGGAAGGGGGGGATGGGGGGGCTATGCTGTATCGATTATTAAAACAAAAAGACACCGGGACGCCAACGAGAAGAAGGAGAGAGGAGGTAAAAACGCTCTAGAACCCCGTGGGGGTCACTTCTGCGGCCCCATCCCCACTTTGCTCCCCCTTCCTTTTCCCCCCTCGACAGAAAGCGGGAGAAGGAGCAACTCAAAAGCGTAAACACACACAGACACACACCAATAAATACCGTGACAGCAACAACCACAAACCGAGAAACCTAACTCACAACTTTCCGAAGGAAAACAAAACCAACCAACACACCCGGAAGGCGAAACTGTCGGTGACGATGCTACGTTTGGTTTGGGTCTCTTTTCATTACTTTCTGGCTTTCTTTTTTTTTTTTCCCCTGGCTTGGTCATGAATGAGGACGGCGGCGGTTTGGAAGGGAGGGGTGTCTTTCTCTGGTTGGCTTGGTGTTGGGGTTTAGGGGTTGTTTTTTGTTTGTTTTGTATTTTTGTTTGCTTGGTTTGGCTTGGTTTTGTTTCTTGCTTGTTTTGGGGGGGGGGGTTAAATTTTATTTTTATTCATGAATTTATTTCTTCCCCTCCAATGCGGTTTTTCGCGAGGCTTTGGCGATGGGTCTTGTCTGTGCCGGGGCAGGGCGACAGCCCTGCGGGGCAGCCGAATCCCACCGAGGCTCGGGAACGGGCCTTTCCCTCTCTCCTCTGTCGCTTCATTAATCCTAGCTAGCTCAAGGAAAACAAACAAAAGTTAATCCACGGCCCCTATGTTTGTGTTCCCTCACCGGCGTGGTTTGCGTTTCCATCTGTGTCCACAGACGGGTCCCTACCTCTGCAGAGATGCGTCTGGACGCAGATGCCAAACCTGCCTGAGCAGGGATGCTCTCCGAAAGAGTATCTTCAATCTCCTTAAGGCCAGTCGTTAACTATGTTCTGTCCTCTCCCCTCCTCCCGCTCCGCTCCCCACCCTCTGCCTCCCGGCATCCCTACCAAATTTGCTGGATTTTGGGTTAGCAGTGGGAAGAAGGTCCTGCTTTGGTTTCCTACGAGGGCCGGAGGTTTTTGAGCCCGGT